GCCTACTTCTAAAAATTATCGAGATACTGACTTTTGAACGTTATTTGTCGTACCAAACAACCCAAAACCCTTGTATACCAATTTTCACGGTTATACATCAAATATTGTTCGAAATATTTAAAAAAAACTATTTTAGAAAGTAAATTCAAACACCCTGTATTTCGGAAGCCACGCATTTTCGACCTATGTTTATATAGACTTTATGCATTAATTTTAAAAGTTCTATCGAATCTTAAAGTTATGCAACAATAAACTGAAACACCCTGTATATGGATTGTTAGAAGCAATACTTGCATTGTACTGGTTTGGCATATTATTCCAAAATTGTCATGTTTCACGAAATTTTTAAAGATCATTGTTTTTTACTATATAAACGTCAGCTTTTAATTTCATGAAATACCTTAAAGTGCGAGTTTTTGTAGGCAATTATGGTGTTAGATGATTTCAGGACTTCTTACTTAATATGCAAACACCGGCAGAAGCCTAATGAAGATAAGTATTATAATTATGCTGTACTATGTTTATGACAGTCGATCAGTTTGTTTAACCCGTTGTGGCCAATTGGTCTTATGGGATGATGGTATTCTGATGTTACCAGGATGATTACTGGTTGCCTATGATTTATTAGCCATGAAATCGTAGCCGACAAAATAGCTCAGCTGGTGCGGAAACGTTCAACTTGCCATATACGACTTTGTATTAAGTACAGCAAAGGTTGTGAAATAGTTAGATCTTCTAGCTGCCCACTCATTTGGAGCTAACAATGCTATCATTTCATTTTTATCCCGAACTGACATAAATAAGCAGTATAAGCATAGTGCAAAAATAATAAGAACCTCCATTTTTTTGCCATACATTTGGTAAGGTGCGGGCTAGCTTCCTGGAGAGAGCATATCCTCCGGGATCTGTGCGATCTGCGCATGTCAGAGACTTTTGCCAAAATCCTCTGTATTGTTTTGACCATTCAAACCAGTTTTTAAGCCAAAAATTGGTTTGCTGAAACAGCGGATCGATATACCCACCTAGGTTTCACCCTTGCTTGAACATGTCGATACATGCATCTAAGAACATTGTAACTGACAAAAGTCAAGTTTTCAGGAGAGCCATATCAATTTTCTACCAACTTTGACTAAGCTTTTGGCACTATGCATGGTAACTTGGTACACATTTATGTCATTTTGTAAAGATAAGTCGTTGGTTAACGCTGTTTTCTAAAAAAATTTGGAAAAAATTCATGCAAATAGCAAAAAACGGTAATCACAATGTGACGAAAACGTGCACTTAGCTGTATAATCATGTACGTATGTTACAATGTTCTTCCATAAAACATAGTCATTATTTATCAATTGTAAAGAGCATATGATAATAATAATAATGTTCTTTATTTTCCCATCATATACGTACATTTTACACACAATGATAAAAATACATAAACTGTACCTGTAATAACATTGTAACGGCTCTTACAGCAACATTACATTAGAGTGACGCTAATGTGTATTTGCTTGACATTTTCCGTGCAACATCATTGTAAAGTCACTTACAATGTGCCATAATACGTTTGCGCGCATTGATAAACACTGTAAATGTTTTAATAATAACAACTGGGTTGTGGTAGATGCGTAACTATCCTGCGTAAACTGTAGTGGAATTGTATCGAACGTTACTGCTGTACCGTGGCAGTATACAGTTACACTGATATTTAAAATAGTTTTTTCTCATCTTTGCTACAAAAAAATTTAATTCTTATACTAGCTGAAAGTATTAGTAACCTCTATATGAAACAACTAAAAACTAAAAATCGACCAAATGTCAGATACAATGGTCTTAGATGCTTGTATCGATGTTTTCTCCACTGCGCATGCTCAGTCGGTTTCAAACTATTGAAAATGTGATGCCAGAACATTACTATTAGCTCTTAGAAGCGCTGATGCAACCGACCCAATTTTCATTTGGCAGGACCGGCTTGCCTGAAGATGAACCTATGATAATCAATGATGTTACTGATCCGAATGCCGACTGATTTATGTGATTTGGAAATCAAAGGATAGAGGTCGAATTGCAGGTCGAATATATTAATTATCAGCATCAAGCCAGAGTTGCCATTAGTACTACCTATGATGACTGGATCTGTAATACTGGTGGTAACATACTGTATGGCACTTGATGTGTCATTGTATATTCACTAGCACTAATACAAGGTATCTATAATATAAAATGAGTGATTGTACGTAATAAAACATGAACCTGACCGCACAGGATTAATCGAAGTTTAATCTACAAGGTCTGGAGAACTAGCAACCAGGCGGTGTCAGTGAAAAAAAGAATAGAAGAAGGGAAAGGAGCAAAGAAAAAGGAAATGATCATGTGAAAAGGAGAATTATAGTATATTTCTAAATAAGTATCCTTCTTGAGTAAGTACATATCGTGGGTTTACTTTGTACTTGTAGCTCATAAGTTCACGCGACGTGACAATTTAAGCCGTATTCATAAAAGAGAAGCATATCCTCGGAAGCATGAGGTAAAAGTATAAGGTCTTGCTTCGGAGAAAAAGGTAGAAGTATAAGCATATCCTTGTTTTCATATTCATAATGATTACCTTATACCCGCGAGGATATCCTTCAAGACGAAGTACAAGGTTGACTAGTATTTGTATCTTGAGCGACACGTCCTGACTTATTCCAGCTTGTAGTTGACGTGGGAGTTCGTTCACTCAGCGTCACTGACAGTTGTACTCCAGAACTTACACAGACCGTTCCGTATTTTTACTGGATACAGTTTTTTATTAAATTAATAAGCATGTCATCCTCAAGTGATGAGGAAACTATAGAAAATAATGGCAACGACCTGCAGTTCATCGCAGCCATTGCTCCCATTATTTTGAAAAAGTCACAAGTTCCAAAAATAAAAATGAGAAAAGACGATGCCTTGAAGAAGATGTTGAAAAAATACGAATCAACATTCGGTAAACCATTAGATTACTAACTTATTAAAAAAAATTCAACAACATGAAATCAAGATTGAAGAAAAAACATCTAAAAAACTGGTAATAAAGCAACTAAATTGTTAGATTGGGAAAGGAAGTTGCTCAAAGCTATGGAAGGTGACTGTAGTCCTACAATTGGGAAAATTAAAGGTGCTATTCAGAAGGAAGTGAACTAACTATACAGGGTGACTTCGAAGTTGAGTCATTTATTTTAACAGTGAGTAGATCTGATCAAAAGAAATGTTTTTTTCCTTTAACATTTTTGTGGTAAAATTAAAGTAACAAAGTTATAGCCCTTTAGAAGTTTGAGTAGCGCCCTGTCTCAATAATAATATTATGTGCTCGTGTTTGGCAACAACGGATATACTCCGCCTTATCGGTTCATCGCATCGGAAACAAAAAAGCGAAAGAATTTGAAACGCTGATCACGATGTTTTTATTCAGTCAATGTGTCAGTCGGTAACGCGTGAGTGAATAGTGATGTTTGCTGTGTGGCTCAAACGAAATAAAAAATGGCACATATTTATGCAGATCGGTTTCCCAATCGAGTACAACCAACCCCTCGAGCTTTTGTTAATGTAGTACAACGGGCTCGTGAATCAGGTGACTAAGACCTCACAGGGGAGGGCATGCCGGTGCTCCAAGACCTCACGGTCAAATACAGGTTCGCATTGAAATACTGTCGGGAGGATACTTTATAAAACAAGGTAATTTTTTTTATTTTTTTTTATTTTTTACACACATATTTCGGTTTATCGTCCTTCTACAATCATTATCTGAAAATTAATGACTCAACTATCAAAGTCACCCTGTATATCGAGCACAGTGAGAAAACAGTTAGTATTACAGCGCCAGCAATTCAGAAGACATTACCACCAAAAAGAAAATTAGCAACAGAGAAATACGAAACTAGGGAAACCAAAGGGTTTAACTATAAAAGAACCTGCAACGTCTAGTGCTATTACAGCTGTACCCAACAAGGTATTTTACAACAAGAGTATTATAAACGAAATTAGAAATGATGCAGCATCAGAAGCCACCTGTAACTTCTGATGTTCACGAAAATAAAACTTATTATAACTTATAACTACACTTTAATCAGTAAAACTATTTATTATAATACTCAAGTTTCTTCTTATTTGTTGACCTAGTTGGCGGAGAGAAGTTCGTCATTCCCATGATTTCCTTCATCTTCATCTGGGTCTTGTTCAACTAACTCAAAGTCAGGATCGCCCAAGCTCTTCGCAACATTATGGAGTACAATACAAGAATAATTATTTTCGGCACATTTTCCAACTTTATGCGGCAAACATACTGTAGGATAGGAAACCGGCGTTTCAGTTGGCCGAAACAGCGTTCAATTATAACTTTTCTTATTTTAAAAGGCTTATGATAATTTATTTCTGCACCTGGAGTAGGATTTCTGAAGGGCATGGTTCAATACCAAAACCGTCATCGCCAAGTAGTACAAATTTGCTTTATTTATTAGTTGTGATCTAGTCTGTGAATTTCTCCATATTCTGGAATCATGCACTGATCCAGGCCAACTGACATCAACACTTGTGAACATCTCTCTGGCATCACAAGTGGCTTGCACATTTAAAGTAGGTTTCCCTTTTAGGTTGATATACTCATTTCCATGGCGATTTGGTTTCAGGATTCCTATATGTGTACAATCAATTACACCAATTGCTGTCGGAAATGTATAAATGCTTTGCCATGGTTGGTAGTTCACAACTCTATCCACAGTCCGAGATACCGTTGCTTGACTAACACCAAGTTCCTGACCAATACCTTGTTGATATCCAGGATCACCGAGATAGCGTAGACATATCTTCATTTTATGAATACATGAAAGTGCTCCTCCTCGCGTTTCCTCATTCTCAACAGAAAATCTGTCCGCAAGCCATTGTACATTTGCTTCGTCGAACAGATATAATTTTTTGAAGTCCAAGACCAAGACGAAGTGAAGGTAAACGAAGTTTGTACGTTTAACATTCCTAACATCCACAATTTCCGCCATCATCGTTTGATCACCGTTCGTTACGAGGTTGAGTCTGCTACTCACCACACTAAGAATTTTTGAGGCTATGCTTCCTATACCAAGTTTAAGGTGAAGATTGTGAATATGCTTTTACTTATGTCACTGCTTTGAAGGATATGGTTATACTCAAAAAGCAAAAGCATTTACTTCAAATTATTATAAATCACATTTGGAGGATTTCCTCCAAAATTTGCAAGTACAAGGATATCCTTTGTTTTATGAATACGGCTCAATAAGTGGTATCAGACTTCAGAATTAAGAAATGTTTAGCAATTGTTGCCCTATGACTTGCGCCTTGTGGCAAACTATGCAGGTCAGATATTTCATCTGTTCATATTTCTGCTGCTCATGTTATGCATTAACGTAATTGTGAGAGCAGTTCTGCGGAAACCAAACTAAATAAATGTAAAGCTTGAACGCTCTGACCAGATTATTTTGATATTGAATCTAACTTTATGGGACTACAATAACATTCGGCCTGAAAGGTACACTACCCGGTCCAATGGAATGCGGCTTCCACAAAGGTGTTGAATATGTTAGCCGGCTAGATAGTGTCGCCTAACGTATATTTCAAATTATGTTTATTAGTGGCGGAGAGGTAACGCTGTAGCCCAGAGGTGTGTATATGTATGGCTCACCGTCTACCGGTTTTACATTGGAAGGCGATTTCAATTCAGCCGAAGAGAACTTTTCAAATAACCAAAGAAACTGACTGTGTTTTGATGCAAGCATGTAGCGAGTCCATAACAAGTGCTCTTCTATTTCATTTTCTTTATTTTTTTGTCATAATTTTGCCACTGTTAAATATTCAGACCGGTGACTGACAGAATTAATGTACACAGGGTGACTCAGAAAGTCATGGAAATATTTCTGCGATTCGTAGGTTCCAAAATAAGTGCTTTTTTAAAAATGAATTCCTAAAATGTCCCTATAGCTATAGGTTTTTGAGGTTCTAATTTCGAAACCAAAAACAAATTATGTTGTTTTTGTTTTCTATACCACTAATTTTTCAAACACCTATTGACAAACATTCAACTTTATATTAATCGTCGATCCTGAAAAAACTTCTTCACATAAAAATTGATTTAAATATTTGAGGTAAAATCCGTACAAAAACTTCAACCCGTTCTACTTTGAAAATACGTGTAAGTTTGTCATTATTTAAACAATAATAGTGTTTTTCCTCATTCAATCTCATCTAGGGCGTAAAAATATACAGAATCGCGTGTATTGTTACCTATGTGTATAGGAACTTTTTTTGTTAGTTTTGGGTATACGTTCTACTCTTGAGATATTGCCATGTTCTTCTGAATCACCCAGTTTTTTTCCAATATACATATACATGGGTTAGAATCATGGACTCTTGATGGGATGCGCCACTCTTGCCTATCGAAACGTTTGGCCACACTGAGCGGGATGGTGATGAAAAATCAGCTTTGGCGATCTATCGTAGGTGAGCATACCCACTTGTTTGTTTCTGTTTAGTGCTAATAAACACGAAACAGCGGTGTCGGCGGTTAGTCATAGATAAAGGAGACGGAATCTATAAAAGCTTTGAAAACGAATTTCTCAAAAAGACCTGTAGAGGTGTACGACTTCGTATGGCCAATAAATACCTGTTGACAGTGGTAAAGTGTAATACATTGACTGATGACCATCGAAATGTGGTGACTGACACCAGACTACTTTAATGGTGCCATGTCAGTCATCAGTGACAGACACATACTTTTAACTTGTTTATTTAGCGGTGCAGGTCATGAGGTCTACCTACAGGTGCTTGAAAGAAGAATCTACCTCCGTAAGTACGCTTCCCCTCACGGCGTAACGATGCCACGTATCTTATGCTGGTCTTATCATTGTCATCAGGTATTTGTTGGTTGTCAGGCAAAATTACTCCGAAGAACCTCATCAAATTGACATTGAAAGCATTCGCAACAAGTTGCGATAAATATTTTGTTCTTTTAACAAACTTTGATATAATCTGCAATCGATCATGAGATCCTATGTATTTTCTAAATTCTATGTCACTCGGTATATTTCGTAGATGGAAAGTAGGATATTTTTTCTTTTACCCTGACAGGCTTGCGTGTTAGTAACTAGATCAGTAATCTAAAACAGTAATTAGACTTTTATAAATATTCGAAGTAATATAATATAGTTAATTAAAAGGGCAATTAATCCCAGCTCAGTGAATTGTACACACAGAACACAATGTATGTACTGTGTTTAATGCAGCACGAGAATTCTTGCAAACGTAACATCGCCTCATAAATCACCTGTAATTACAAACACACTTTTCTATCTTTTGTGTTGGAAACTGTTAAGGAATATTAGGATTATTCAACGCCGCACGTGCATACATGCATATAGCAGGATTTGCGAGGAAAATGGCCGGAAAAGCGGTCGATTTTCCGTCTACATATTTGTGTTAACATCTACGTGTTTTTTCTGCTTCCCACAGGGTTTCAGAAAAGTTGTATCAACCATAGTTTTTACTACCAAAATATTGTGTAGCTAGATCTTACTTTTCACACATTTGTGAGGGGTATAACGAACATTTTCGATTCCAGATAATATTTTCTGGTTGATTAAACAGCTTTAACGATGTTGATGTGATTTGTAAAGTCCTGTGGTACGTAAGCTGATGCCTTAATTTAGGAAAATCGGTGCAGTGGCGGGGGAATTAAGAGCAAAACGGAGAATGTTCAGATGAATCCTCTTTATATACATATACAGGGTTATCCACCATTAGTAACTTTGTTTTAGTGAAAATACAAAGTTGTTTGAATTAGCAAACTAGTAGCATTTTTAACGCTGGTAAAAATGAGAATAAAAAAAAACAATTGAGAGTCGTTATTTTGATTTTTTTCAGTAAAATAACATTTTTTTAAATGGAAACCCTGTATATTATATTTTTTTCTGTTAAAAAGCATCAAATTTTAAACAAAAAAGCTTACAATACTTTTCTCCTAGGTTACAAATTGTTGAAGTTATGGCCTCCAATCTGAAACAATTAAATTGTATCGACAAACTTTATTTTCAACATCAACTTATAATCTTACAAAATACAATAACAATTTTTTTTAAAGAAGATGCTCGAAAACACCACCTTGTTCTTCAATACATTTTGGGCACGTTTTTCAACTGCTCGAACTGTCTTAAGTATGGTCCTACCATCTATCTGGGTTATCTTTTCCCTAACTGCAGTCTTTAACGCGTCAAGGTTATCGTACCTGCGCTTGTAAATTTGGTTCTTTAAGTAACCCCACAAGAAGTAATCAAGTGGGTTTAGATCTGGTGATCTGGGAGGCCACTGTATTGGCCATTTGTTCCTATCCACTGATCATTAAAAGTAGTACTTAGAAAATGATAAGTACCTCTGGAGTTGTGGGCAGGTGCGCCATCTTGCTGAAAATGCAGGATGATGTCTACTTATAAGATCCAATTCGTCTAAGAAATTAGTCAGAATTTCTGACATAAATTCCACATATCTTTCACCAGTTAGGGTTCCCTCATAAAAGAACGGGCCAACAATTTTTGAACCAATTATACCGCACCAAACGTTGAAACTGAAACGGACTTGTGGGCCTCTTGGATGTACTAACAAAAGATTTTCTCTTGACCAATAATGGTGTTTTTTTCTATTAAACATTCCAGAATTTGAAAAATTTGATTCATCTGTCCATAAAAGGTAACGAAAGTTATTTACATTTTGGCGACAGAAGCTAAGATACCAATGGCAAAAAACAAGTCTTCTCTCTGGATCCCCTGCCAAAAGCGTTTGAACTGGTCGGTACTTATACGGAATAAATTTGTATTTTTTTAAAATCCTTTGAACAGTACCATAACTGAAATTAGAGTCCTTGAAAATATCTGCTATTGAATTCTCACGATAAGCTTCAAAATATCCAATAACTGCAATTTCCGTGGCCTCGCTTATTATGAATTCTTTTTTTGCCCTTGTTTTAGCAAAAACATTTTCGTTGCCCCTAAATTTTCGATAAAGTTCATACGGTTGAATGCGAGCGGGATATAATTCACTGGAGGATTTTCTGCACACTAAATAGCATTCTAACATATCACACTTTTCTTCATGGGAGAACATTTTTCTTTGAATTAATGACACAATAAAGCTTATAAACAAGTATTTACACTAATGTTTGACATTATTTGATTTTATCATTGTTTTCCAAAGCCTTCTAGTTGCGAGTATGTCCAGTTTAACAATTTGTCGCTTATCTTAATGCTGTCAAATCGCGAACGTCATGTTGTTTTCATAGCCGTCTTAATATTATAATACTGCAAATAATTAAAAATATTTATCGTTATTTTGACTTTATTTTTGACTTTAGCGGAAAAGTCATTATGAACTTTTTTGTTTAAAATTTGATGCTTTAAACAGAAAAAAATATAATATACAGGGGTTTCTATTTAAAAAAATGTTATTTTACTGAAAAAAATCAAAATAACGACTCTCATTGTTTTTTTTTATTTCTCATTTTTACCAGCGTTAAAAATGCTACTAGTTTGCTAATTCAAACAACTTTGTATTTTCACTAATAACAAAGTTACTAATGGTGGACACTTAATTTGGATAACCCTGTATATATATATATATATATAAAGAGAAAATGATCATGCGGAGAAAAGCATATAATATATTTTGCTGATTTTGAATTATTTTCTTACTTTTTGTTATAATATATAAGGCAAAGTTTTTGCAAAAGTACACTCTTATAACTTGAACTCAAGCTTTCGAAGATCTATGTGATCATCGTGTGGAGCTAGAAACAATT